TTTAATAAAAATATTTATCCCATTCTTCAATGGGGCTGTCCTAGATGTGTATTTATCTCTTTTTGAACCTGACGTAATCTAGAGTTATTTGGGAAGAGTAATCTCTTTGGGGAAGATTTCTCCATCCATTTTGCCCTCAGAAAAGTCTGAAGAGCATTTTCTTTAATTAACTGTCAATGTGTATAGGCCCTTCCCATGTTGGCTATCATGACAGGCAGGTGTTACTGCGTTCTTTAAGAGGATGAACTAATCAGGGCATTACAAACAGACCAGGAACCATGCTTACTTCATGGCTTCTATGTCCATGTTCTTGTTTCCAGGCTCCTGCCTTCTGTTTAGTCCCTGACATTCTTCGATGATGGACTGTGATGGTGGAGTTTGACAGACAATGAAACACATCTATTTTTTCCAGTGTTGCTTTTTCTCATGGTACATTTAATCATACCAATAGAAACTGAGATGATGGTGTTTTAGGCAATATTGCTTTTCTCTTCAGTTATGTCTTGAAAAGTTCCAGTCCTATTGTTTGGTTACTACTAGTCAGTGGTTGTCCTTTGAAGCAAAAAAATTATTTTAATCTACATTATTTTCATGATGACATGTTGTGTTTTCTGTTTTTAGCATTTACCTTTTTATTTCTTATGTCTCATATGACTTTATTTTGGCTTTGTGGTTGGATTTGTTTGCATATGACTGTGTCGGCATTTTAGTATTTATTTTAATTATTTTGAGTTATTTAATATATGAGTACTGTACTTACACAGTTTCTACCCTACCCTCCGTCTCTCCCATCACTCATGCATCCACCCAACTCCTCCTTACATACATGAACTCTTTTCTTTATTGTTGTTGTTGTTGGTGGTGGTGGTGATGTGTGTGTATGTGTGTGTTTGTGTGTGTGCGCGTGTGCGTGTGTGTGTGCATGTGTGGGTGTGTGTCTGTGTCTGTGGTGTGTCTGTGTGTGTATCTTTCTGAGTCCATTTGGTATTGTTTACGACTCTATGTGTTGAGGGACGAACACTTTGGATTGGATACCCTATCATAGAGCTCATTCTTAAAGAAAACTAGCTCTTCCAATCTGAGATGTCATTGATTATCTTTACCTCTTTATTGGGACCTGTTGAGATTTCTCTGGTCTATGTTAGCGTTTCAAATGATTTTGTCATTATGTAAGTCTTGCTTAGGTAGCCATATTCTTAATATATCATGGGTACAGCTTTTTTGTCATCTCTAGAAGATGCTATCTACCCACAGTAATCCTGGTACTTTGGCTCATAAATGTTGTGATGTCTCTTCTTCAATCTTTCTTGAGCTTTGTGTATAGGAGTTATATTGCAGATTTATTGATTTACTCTGGCCTTTCCATGACCACTTATTATCTACATCCTCAAAAATGTGTGTATCTTAATAGTCTTCATCTCTTGCAAAATGAAGCTTACTTGAAAATTGATGAGAGTTACTCTTATCTGTGGACATAGTAGTAACTTTATAATATAGTTATAAATAATGTAAGGATATTGACAGTAGTGGATTCACTTCTCAAAACTTTTCATTTTCAAGCCATAAATAGTTATATAGTAGTACCAAGAATAAATACACCTTTTTTTTAGAACTTAGTTTTAATTAGAAGGCTATTTGTTGCTACCATAACAAAAATGTCACTGTCTTAGTTAGGGCTTTTGTTGTTGTGAATTTATACCATTGTCTTGGCAATTCTTAAATGGCTAAGTTTTATATGTTACAAATTGTAGAAATATTGGGGAATTTAAATCCAGCATCTCCAATGTTCACAGGAGCACTTTCCCATGTGTGTCTGTTAATAAGATACTGTAAGAGCTTGGTTATTACATTATGATCAAAACTGTTTTACTAATCACTTATTCTTTGTAAAATTCCTTCCCTTTGCTTTGGGGTAGAATTTTCCTACCTTCATTTTAAATTTCAAATGTCACTGTCCTCAAAGTATTATACTAAATGGTGGATTCAGACTTCTCAAGCACTCAAACTTAATATTTTATCTCCTCTCCACTTGATAGAATAAAATGTCCCTTTGCAACAAAGGTTCAATTTGAAAACTTAAATATTCAAAATTACTGAATCTTTGAAAAACATAAACTTAGGTTGTGGATAATAGTGGTATGTACAGTATTGAATTAATGATATAAAAAATTAAATCTACTCTGAATTGTTCAATAGAAAGATTCTTTCACCATATTCTAAAATGTGAAGCTAGAATCATGCATGTGTTATAATAACAAACTGACAGTGTTCAAAGCAAACAGATTTCATAATAATATGAAGGTTAATTGTGCACACAATTATGTCAGCAATAAGTTTTTGATTAAATTAGTTCTTATGAATTTGCCAAGTCATTATGAATCATTAAATCTCAGGCACTTTTGCAAATCTATCATTACTAGCATCTTTTTTCTTTTCTTTTCTATGTTTAATTTTATGCGTTAGTTTTAATTGTCATGAAATGTATATAAATGTAACATCATAGTGGGACACGAAATGAGGTAATGTGTATGAAAGCAATATGTAATTAAATCCAAATTAGACGATTTATTTGTTTTATGAATAACAGACAGATCTAATATTTTAAGCAATAATCATTTTGATCAAAATGAATAAAACATGCTTAGAAATACTTTTGATCACTTGCTTCAGCTGAGGCTCTGCAATGATGAAAATGCTAGTCACTTTGCTCAACAAATTAAAAGTTCTCTCACAGTGTAATTTTAAAACTATGTAAGTCTAAAGCTCATAAGTTATTTTACTCCTCCTATTCAGATAATCACTGTCATAGTTCTGCAAATAACTTTTAAATGAGGCACTCAGAGGCATAACACTTTGCAAATCAACAGCATCTTGAATTTTAACTTGATGATATGCTGGTGTTAAGGAAAGTCAGTTTAGGGAAATCAATTACTTCTATGGTCATCTTTGAAATTTTTATTTTTGCATGTCCCCCAAACAATGGGAAATAAATATCTCCTGGCATGCTGAATTCATCAGAAAATGATTGCATGGATCTGAACAATTTTCTCAGGGCATAAAAGCAAATACTCCACAAGACCTGTGTCAAGCAGCAATGGAAAGGTTTGAGCAAGGCTCTGTGTGCCCGTGACCCGGCTTTGAAGGAGTATAGACAAGCCTGTCACAAAAGCCTGCCTAACCTCCATACAGAAACAGTGAGTCACATGTCACTGAGAGCCCCAATAAGGAAGACAGCCTCAAAGACTACCAACATTCTGTTCCAGCCTCTGTATGCATGAGTGATGGAGGCCCATAAAAATGGCTTTTTTCATCTTGTCTTAAGGTCTGATAGTTCAAAAATATCCTTTCTTTTCCAAGGTTAGACTCATAAGACCTTAAGGTCTAAGGCATAGCTACTGTAGGATATTTGGTCTAAGGTGTGGATGTCTTATCTTAACAAGAGACACAATCCGAGGTTTGGGTACTTTTAACTCTCAAGGCCAGATAACAGGAGATTTAGTCTAAGGCATGCTTACCAAATCTTTGGAGAATCAAGGAAGAAAATCTGTTTCTTCCTATTACTTTGATAAAGAAATGTTTTGCCATTCTCCCCTTGTTGGTTGGGGTATTTAAGAATGCTGAGGAATAAACTTGACACCGTCAGTATTCTCTGGGTTGCTCTTCTGACACTATTCTGTGTCTCTAGCTTTTCCTTAGCATATTTCCCTGCCATTTCTCAATCCATACACCCCCTCTCAAGCACAAACATGAGCTACAACATCCACATGTTTGCAACACACAGCATGTACTCATTTACACACATGCACCTGCACACACGCATGTGTGCACATGGGTGCATGCATGCACACACACACACACAGAGAACATGATACTTTTAATATAAAATTTTACACAATAGCTTCAAAAGTGGTCTTACATTTTATTAATCAAATTAATATATATAATACCCCACAATACTTAATACTACTGTATAATCTAACCCAGATTGGAGGAAACCAGTACATTTCTTTCTGAACCAAAAGTGTAAATTCAGGAAAATCTTATATAAGTCACAGAATCGACTCATATGACATCATAAAATTTTACAATGAACAGTGCCACATATGATTTATAACTAAAAGCTGTAAGAGCATAAAAATCTGTCACAGATACTTTGGACTAGGTGATATTAAAACATATTTCCCACTGTAACTGTAATTCCAGAAATGAAATCATACCTGCCAGTCAGATGGGGTTTTGGGGCATTTGGAAGTTGAGAGTAAAGATCGATTGTCTCGTTTGTGACAGCTATGAATTTTTTGAAGAGGTGAACAAAGTTCTTGTGGCTGTAATGTTATGGTCATTCTGTTGTACCTTGGACCAATAGATAGATGCATAATTCCAACATTTTTTATATTGAGTTATATAAAAATAACCATACAAATCTTATTAATCAAACAATTTACATTAGACAAGAGCAAACTTTGATTTTATATCAATATTTTAAAATATTTTATAATTTGTAATTTTATAATAGTGAGGAAAATCCAACTGAGTATTCATCATGAACTGATGAAGGCATACACATTTACATGTAAATATGTTTAAAAATCATTTTTAAGAGGACATTTATGAAATTAGGATAGATATCCCCTTTAAAGAAACTGTACACATTATCATTCAGAAATCAGTAATAAGCATAACCAAAATGTGGTCATTTTGGTCAGATTAATGACCAGTAGCACTGCCGTACAGAAACTAAAGATTACACAAACTCTTTAAATGTTGTAGGACAAGATGAATGAAGGTGTGATCAACAGGGATAGAGCTCTTCTAGGAATATATTTGAAGAACAGTTTATGGTTGATTGGTCAAACATCTACATCATAGTCAATCTATAAAAGATGTCCGTAACTAGCAGTGAAGGGAAAGGTTTTTCAAACTGTGATATACAGACCCACGAAAAGTTTATGTTTACAAACAGCATGATGCTTTTCATCAAGATGCTGCTTCCTACACAGATCTCCTCACTGATCACCACAGAACACATGAGAGGGTGGTGGAAACTCTGCTTTGGTGAAATATTACTTATTCAGATTATAAGTGCACCAGGATGGAATTAAAAGTGAATTAGGAACTACGACCTAAGACCTAATAAGACTGTGACAACAAGGACCTCTGTAGTCAGCTGGTAAGTGATATATTGTTATAATGACTGTGCAACTTGATTTATTTTACTGTTTTAAAATACCCTGACAAAACCAACTCAAAGGATAATGTGTGTGTGTGTGTGTGTTTTAATCCATCATTATTGGAAGACTAGATAGGCCAGGAGTAGGGGTACAAGCTTTCAATGCCAGCTTTGGTAAGGAAGTCAAATCAAGTGGATCTCTGTGAGATTCAGAGTTCCCGAACAGCCAGGGGTTTCAAACGCCAACAAACACACAAAAAAAATCTTTAAAAAAGCAACAAACAAACAAACAACAACAGAAAAAAACAAACCCACCCAACCAACATAAATCAAAATCAAAACCAAAAAACAAAGTCAAAAGATGGTTTTAAATATTGGGGAAAACTTGTGTCAGGGTTTGAGGCAACTGGTTACCTTTTATCCACAGTTAAGAGGCAGGCAATAAATGGGTACAGGGTCACATACTGCTCACTTCATCCTCCTCATACAGTCCAGGATCCAAACCCTGGGGTTAGCTTTGCTCATATCACTAAGTCATAGAAATACTTCTTAGACAGTCTCTGATGTTAAAGTTGTCAGTATCAGATATGCCTTGCAGGTGTGCCCTCCTGTTAAGTAGACAACCAAAGTTATCCATCACAGAGACCAAAATAAGACATAACAGAAAACCTGTTAAGACTGATTTCCAGTTCAAATTGCATACCGTAGATGGTGTGAAAAACCTGGCAATGAGGCAGGGGCCAGGAAGAATGCAGTGGATGAGATGAAAAACAAGTGTGCCATCTACTGAGGGAACTGACTAACTCAGGTCAGCAACAGGCACTTGGCTTGCTGCCTATTTCAAGAGGAAATCCATCCAGGCTTGAAGTTTTCTTTCGCATAGCTTGTTATTGGTTTGGGGTCTGAAAGGGCCCCACTGATGTATACTGTGGTATGCAAAGTAGTCAGTAATTCTCCCAGGATATATAGGAAAAGGTCAGCCCATTTTCACAGAAGCCTCTGCTGTGAGTCGCTTGACTCCCAGAGAGGCAGGAAGAGTGGTCACAAACACTGTTACCTTAGTTACCTAAATGGAACAGCATAAAACAACAAGCTGTATTTAGAAATGAGTATGTACACAATTATCTCTGTCATTGAAAAATGACCTTAAATTAAGCATTAGCTGACTGTAAGAACAGACACCTACACCTGCTATGAATGTCACCAAGAAGCAATAGATTAACTCAAGAGAGGAACTTAGACAATGGTCATCCAAAGTTGTCCTTCCCTTCCTTCCTTCCTTCCTTCCTTCCTTCCTTCCTTCCTTCCTTCCTTCCTTCCTTCCTTCCTTCCTTGCTTGCTTGATTTCTGTTGCAGTCATAAACACCATTAACACAAGCACGTTGGAGAACAAAGGGTTTATTTCAACTTACTTGTGATAGTCCATCATTTGTGCCATGCCACAAACCCAGGGCAGGAACATGATGCAGAAGCCAGGAAGAAATCCTCAGTACTGACTTGTTGCACCTGGAAGGTTCAACTAACTTCCTTATGCAGTCCAAGTTCACCTGCCTGGAAATAGCATTGCCCTCAGTGGGTGTGGTCCTCTTACGTCAATTAGTAGGATAAAATAACCCATAGACATGGCCACTGACCTATCTGGGACAGTTCCTCAGCTGAGATTCCCCCTTCTCAGGTGTGTCTATTCTTATATGAAGCGAATGAAAATTGCACAACCTACTTGGGAGATTTTGAGAGCTGAAATTTGGAGGGAGAGAATATAATTAATTTTACTACCAAAAAATACTGAAAGGACATAAGAAAAAAATTCATCTCTGGGAAGTCATGTGTTGCTAGTTCCAGTCATCTTCAATACTTACATGTTATACCACTGGCTTAAATTATGTCCTTTACTATGAGCTGTAAGTCAGTATGTAGAGAGCACACAATGTGCATACAGACACACGCAATCACAGGCCTCATAATTTCATATGCTTCTACTTACTGCCTTAAACCAAAATTATCAGGGAAAACTGTTGATACTACTCAAAGATGCCTTAATTTTATCTGTCACCTAGATGTCCTACAACAGAAGAATGGATGAAGAAAGTTGGTTGCAATTCATACAATTAAGTATCACTCAGTCATTAAAAAATCGCATCTTGAAATTTGCAGGCAAATGGATGAAACTCGATAGAAGCATCCTGAATGAAGGATCCCAGACCCAGGAAGACAAATATGGTAATTTTTTACTTATATATGGATATTAGCTGGCAAGTCAATGATAAGCAAGCTATAACTCATAGAATGACAGAGGGTAGGTATACAGTAAGGAATTAGAAGCAGCATATATAGGTCTCATTAAGAAAGGGAAATATAAGGGGCAGAAAGAGATATCTTAATAGAGAAAGCCACTATTGGCTTAAGGAGAAACATGGTGCTAGGGTAACTCCCAAGAATCCACAAGGAGGATTCACAGCTAAGACTCCTAGCAATAGTAGAGAGGAAGCCTGAACTGGCATACCCCTGTAATCACATTGGTGAATGCCGCAACTACTATCATACAGTCCTCATCTAGTAATTGAGGGAACCAGACACAGAGATCCACAACCAGGAACCAGGCCCAGCTCCAGGAATCCCGTCAAATAGAAGGAGGAGGGAATACATGAACAAGGGATGTCAAGATCATGATAGATAAATCTACAGAGACAGCTGAACCCAATTCGTAAAAACTCATGAACTCTAGACCTAAAACTATGGAAACTCTAGAGGACTGAACTAGGTCCTCCATATTTGGGAGACAGTTGTGAAGCTTGGACTATCTGAGGGGACCCAGGCAGTAGGACCATGATACAAACCTGGTACAAGAGCGAGCTTGTTGGAGCCCATTACTTAGGGTGGGATTCTATGCTCAGTGGCAGTAGGACCCAATATAATCCTGGTACATTAGCTAGATTTTTGGAGCCTGTTCCCTATGATGGGATCTCATGCTCAGCATTAATGCATGGGAGTCTGGCCTGGCCCTGGCCCTGTACAAATCTATTTTGCCAGACTATGTTGACTGCTAATGGGAGACCTTATTTGTGAGGAAGAGTAGACCGGGGGAAGTGAAAGGGGTGGGAAGAGGTGTGGGAGGGAGAACTGTGTTTGGAATGTAAAATAAAATTGTAAAAAATGAAATAGATGGAAGGGAGCCGGTATGGTACTGGAAGACCCTGTGAGGAAGAAAAGAGGGTATTGTGAGATACTTTTAAACATAAATAAGTTTAGGAAATTTTCTTCCTTGCATTGCATTTTGATAGACATTTTCTTGGTCTCACTCCAATTACCTATTCCCTGAGATTTAACAACCTCTCTAAATGTTTGTCAACCTCTGATACTAGAGCAGGTATATGTCTGATCCCGATGGGACAGTATTGACACCTTAGATCCAGCAATCTATGTTACAAGTCTCTCTTGAAACTGTAGTTCTATGGAGTTGGACTAATGACTGTTGGCCTGTATCTCACATTCATTATTCAGCAGGTGTTTTTACTTCCTTAGAAACATTCCTAGCTGCACTTACTCTCATCTTTGTCCCAAACCTACCAAGTCTAACGAATCCCTTGATGCTTTCCTTTCCTTGCAGGTGTTTGTATTTCGGGTTGTCATATAGCTCAGACTCACACAGGAAAGCACCTTTAGATACTGGTTTCTTTTACTTAGTGGTATATACTTCAGTGTTCACCACATTGATTCATGTCCTCATAGCTTATTTCTTTTTAATACTAAATTAACTGATAACCTGTATTTGCCACAGTTATTCCAGATTAAAGTTGGCCATTGCATGAGACATTAGTCTGCCTCATTTTTCTTCTCCATTTTCCCAGGTTCCTACACCTCCAGTACAGTAAGATATATGATATATCTTCGAACATCTGTTCTACACTGTGAGTCAGGCATTTCGCTGAATTACTCTGGAAGTCAGAAGCCATGGTAGAATGCTATAAAACTCCTGGAATGGGTCTTTCCAATTTGAATGAGTTCATGATGTGCACCTGTAGGAACTTTAAGAGCTTATCAGAAGAGCACTCATATTTGGATTTGCCAGTACCAATGCATCCAAGTGTGTGGTGAAGAGCTAATGACTTTGCTTTCTCTATTTCTCTGAAAAACAAAATTTCACCAGAGTGAATGACAGTTGTCAAGAACACAATTTCAATATAGATCGCTTGTCAATATAGAGGGAAATACAAACCCTTGTGCATTCTGATGAGAATGTAAGTTCATTCAATATGGAAATCAATATGGAAGATACACAGAAAAATAATTGAAATAGAACTAAAATATTTCCCTGCCATATTACTTCTGGATATTTGTCTGAATCTAATTTAATGTATCACACAGATATTGACACATTTTTTACTGTAGCATTGTTAACACTCATTAATTTATAGAACTATCTACATACCTGTTGGCAGAGAAAGAAAGAAAATGTGCTACATAGACAAAATGGAATTTCATTCAGTGATTAGAAAGAATAAAACTCATTTGGAAAAAATAGCAGAAGATGGAGACTCAGAAAGAAAAATTGTGCATCTGCTTTGAGATTACACCTTACTCCAGCCAGAATAGTCAAGATTAATAATACAAATGACAGCAGATTTCAGTGAGCATCCTGGGGAAGTAGAACACATACCCATTGCTGGTGAGAGTGCAAACTGGTACCTGCACTACGGAAATAAGTGTGGTTTTCTCCAAAAGCAGAAAATTTATTTACCACAAGATACAGGTATTGTGGTATTCATGGGCATAAATCCCAAAGACCCTATACCTTGCTTCTTGCTATTCCATGTTTATTGCAACTCAATGTTACTCCTGCTGTTTATTGCCCTCAATTTTAGATTCTGGGTTCTATTCAGAAGGAGATGCAGAAATATTACAGGTTTCATAGATGGTGAATGACTCCAAAAAAGAGTATTTTCCAGACAAAAGAGACCGGTGAAAACTCAGAGACTGAAATAACACATGTAAGACCTGAAACAAGTAGAAAACAAAATCCCAGAATTGAGAATGAGAAGTGAACAAAAATATCCAACCCCTAGCCAAGAAGCTATTTGCAATTTGACACCTATGAAGGAAAATAAGTTTTTCCATGAAGACATTGGGTATATTAACCACACTCCAAGGCAGACACCATGATCAGTAATAGGTGTGTTGGTTAACAGAAAATGGACTCCATATTTTGTGTGTGCATTCTTTTGAGTTTCTGTATTGTTTTGTTTTGATGTTTTTGTCCCTTTTGGTGTATTTTTATTTTGAATTTTGGTTTTGTTTCTGAGAGAAAGAACATGAATTAGAGTGAGTACAAAGTAGGGAGGATCTGATAGGACTCTGAAGAGGAGAAGGAATAAAATCAAATTGTATTGTATGAAAGATATAAAGTCAATAAATACAAAAGTATCAAATATTTTCACTCCAAATGGTCCTTACATCCTAGGTTTTGTGTAAGTGTGCAAATTATATATTTACATTCACATAAAAATAGACTTGAAGATGTTAAAGAGGAACAGAGGGAAGTAACTTACTCAGGTAAAGGGGAGGTTGTAACAGGATAGACTTCCTAAGAAGACAATTTGGAAGTCAATTGCTGTTTAGAGTGTGATATGCTTCATTTTATAAGAGTCATTGGCTATATGCTTGACATCACTTAATGTTTTTTTTACATAAATAGCATTTCAGTTTTTATAACTTACCTTAGGCAATTATTACTTTAAATATGTTGGCCAGATGGAAAACCATGGATATATAAACAATTTTAGTTTTTAATCAAGTAAGTCCTGAGTTGGCAGAATTTTCTGCAAGTTCTACTGGAAGCTTAATACCTTTTTCAAGATATGTTTTGCTGGATACAAACAAATTGAGTCAATTTTAACTTGCAGTTCCCTGCAAAGAGGTAAGCTGCGATCACACATGGAGACCAAGAAGTAAAGGGAGAGAAAGAATGGGCAATGCTCCAGTGCCCTCACTTCTTTACACTTGGCTCTCCCTCTTAAAGGCAACCCTACCAGTCAACAGCACAAGGATTTAATACATTCACATCAAAGCATTATCTGTGACTGTTGAAAAGGTTTCTCTTTGTAGCCGCTTGAGTTTCTTCTCAATATTGACCATGTTTTAGAATAGCAAATTTATGAGACAAAAGTAAATTCTTGATATTTCATGGCACATAGCCTTATGAGGACAAACCTGTATCCACAGAAAATAGAAGCAGATGCTACTGTCCAATGGGTGGTATGGCAAAGGAAGTTCAACCAATGACCTTTATTAAACACAAGTCTTTAAAGTTAAGCAAATTTTAAGAATTGTAAGCAAACAGTTGGGGAAATTTTAATCCTATCTAATAAATCCCCAAAGCCCTTGGTGATTCCAGGCTGCAAAGAATGGCTATCCTTAATATCTTTTCATTAGAATAAATTTTCCTTAAAGCCTGAAATTTAAATATGCTAAATTTACAAGCATTGCCTCTATGACTTCTGTAATCAAACTAACTCACCCTAGTTTTATCAAGAGTTATAGGGCAATGCTGAGATGTTTCTGGCCAGTCATCACCTTAGATTCACTTACAGAAGGTATTTTTTTAATTCACTATCATTGATTTTGTTTATTATCCTTATTCATTTCTTTGTTGCATATGAGAAAGCCTTAATTTTCTGTACTGATTTATTTATGGCTGGTAAAGATACTGAGGGATGAATCATTCTAGACTGCAGTAGAAGTGCTTATGGATCCACATACTTAATATTTTATGGAGAAAAATGATCCCTCATATTTCATTCCAATAAAAGATATGTAAACTAATGCATTCTCAGCATACAAATAGGACTTGTTTCTCCCAGCTGTTCCAACAGTGTCTCATTTCTTTATCAAAATCAGAGTTACCAGGAAAAGTAAGAAGCTGTTTTACTTCTTTGCTTCTGAAAGTGTTTATGGGTTTTGTAGAGGCTAGATGATAATCCACGATTGCCACATTTCCAGTTTATATGAGTGATCTTATTAAGTACATAATAAGACAAAGTAAAAGAATACATATCAATAGATGACAGATGGAGAGATAGATTGATTACAATCTATAGCTAATTAATAGAATGATAGATGATGATGATACATAGACATGTTATATAATGATGTTAGATACACAGACAGATAGATGATAGATAGATAGATAGATAGATATAGATGATAGATAGATAGATAGATAGATATAGATGATAGATAGATAGATAGATAGATATAGATGATAGATAGATAGATACATAGATAGATAGATAGATAGATAGATAGATAGATAGATAGATAGATGATGCATGGAATGATTCTAGACAGACTGACAGACAGATGAATGATAAACACAGCAATTGATAGCAAAGTACCACCAGTCTTTCAGCATATACTGACTAGGAAGCCCCACTGAGCAGTCAGCTGGAATTCACCGTTAGGCTTTCTTGCCAGGGTTGAGAATCGTCTGGCTAAACTTCCAGTTTCACTTTACTGCAGTAGTTACTTTTATGTTTTTGCAGAAATAGTAATATCTGTTATGGATACCCTCTTGGTGTTTTAAGGGACAAGACGTACTTATTGTTAGGCTTTGAGTCAAACATTTTCTCTAAATAAGCAGGAGCAACACTGCTTCCAAAGCAGGTGGTCGGTGAATTCAAACAACAGGTAACAATTCATCAATGTAGTGGACACTGCAGTGAGTTTCAGAGATGCTTTTTATTTTGCACTGAGGTGCTTTCTCTTTCTTCGAAAGAAGTTTCACAACTAAGAAAAAGTTTTTCATTGTGCACAAGTCTCATTCATAAACTTAATGGTGATAGTTATAGTTACCGTGTAATATTTGTCATATGAATTTAAAATGTCTACCTCTTCCATATTGCTCATCTTCAAAGAATTCAATGTTAGTCATACAGATTTAAAATTTTCTTTCTACTAGGGAGTCAATATATACTTTAATAATATAAAACACTGGTGAGGTAGATGCAACTATTAAACTTGAGTATGAGCAGTATATCATGCCTTAGGATTCATATATAGTAGGGGACATTAGCAATTAAGGAAAACCCAATGGACTAATATAAAAAGGATGGCCATAGCTATCTATGGACTGATCAGTAAAAAGAACTTCATAAACAAAGAAAAGCCATTTAAAAATTCAAAATTGCTAATTCATAATTGAATTGTATATGCTATTCTCCAATTACTATCAGGAATCTGGGTCATTTTTATTCACAAAACTGTCTAACACTTCCAGAACTGTGTTTGAAACACAGTAAATAGCGTCAACCAGTTCTTTAATTAATTAAAGAATTTTACCTAACCTTTTCAACCTAAAGTACCTAACAGAGTGCCCAGAATACAGATCACCCTGCCATGATTCATAGCATTAATAATTGGCAAACATTTATACTAGTTATGAGAACACCATCACCTTAAACTTCCATATTTTTTTGCCTCTATTCACTGCACTCTTTGTGGTGGTTTTGAATAAGATTGACCTTCATGGGCTTCTATATTTGCTTAGTCCCCACTTGATAAACTGTTAGGAAAGGGTTACGTGTTGTTTGAGGAGTATGTCACAAGGGCTAGGCTTTGAGGTTTCAAAAACACATGCCAGGCTCTCCCTCCCTCCCTCCCTCCCTCCCTCCCTCCCTCCCTCCCTCCCTCCCTCCCTCCCTCCCTCCCTCCCTCCCTCCCTCTCTCTCTCTCTCTCTCTCTCTCTCTCTCTCTCTCTCTCCCTCACTCCCTGATACCTCAGCTACTTTTTCAGTTCTAGGCCTACCTGTATGCTTCCTGCTATGACAGTAACAGACTAACCCATGAAACTATAAGCAAGCATCCAAAGAAATTCTCCATTTAAAAACAGTTGCCTTGGTCATGGTGTCCTGTCACACAGAGGAGCAATAGCTGAAGCACTATGCAACTAATAAAGACTTTTCATGGTTGTCTTTTTCTCCCCATTAACAGATAGTCCCTATGAAGCAGAAAATTTCATATTGCTTTCCTGTATGGATAGTTTATGCTAAAAGGCAAGCTGTGTTTGGGAAGGGTCAAGGTCAGTACTCTCTCGAGAGTGACAAGGTGAGTAAACACTTAACTATATAGCCATATAACTGCACTATATTTGTATGAAAGGTATTTTTATCCCAAACAATTTTTCCACCTAAACTTAGAAGTACATATCATGATAAAACTCAAGTTTCAAGTCCAAGAAATCATAATCTTCCATTAAAATCCTTTACCCAACATTTTAGTTCATAAGGGCTGATTTTTGTGTGTTTCACATTCAAAGTGTCAGCAACAGTTATCAGATCTGAAGGGTTTAATTGCTATAGCTACATGGGTCACAACTCAGATTCTGGGGATGACAAAAAAGTCTCACAATTAAATTATAGCATCAGAAATAGCACATTAGAAAAGATGAAAGTTATTCTTTTTATAAGCAAGCATTTTCATATTACATTGAAATGTATTTTTCAGTCAAATTACACACTTGTTCTGTATTTTCTTAATAACTTTAGAAAGGACTTGCAGAGGTGACTAATGTTTCTGCATACAACCATACCATTAGGAACTTAATTGGGATGTCTCCACAAGAAGAGACAACTGCTTTCTTTATTAATACCTTGACTTGTAAATAGAACAAAAATGACACTGACTCATCTCCTAGTATACTCACTCTGCAAAATGAGTGGTATTTTTCCGACAAGCAAATTCAAGCAAAGCATTATTAAAGAAACATGGATACATTGCATAATAAAATGTGTAATTTACTTTCAAACTGTTCAACACTTTATTGTATACCATAGCTGAGGATTCATTGTCTGTGATCTAAACTTTCCCCATCCAATCTCTATGCCTTCTTACTTTCACAATGTTTTGGAGTTTTAAATGTTTCTTTGTTTCATCATGCTCATATTTAATTGGTTAGATATTCATGTTTAATGCATTATTAGCCTAATCATGAATTTATGAATTTATTAAATAATACCTGCAGAAGCTCAACATCTGGTTTATCAATCGTCACATAGCTAGTTTTGGGGCTGCAATCTTGTCTTTAAATCAACTATAGTGTCACCAGAAATTTAATATAACAGTAGCATCACATAAGGTTTATAAGGTAATTCTAATAATAATTCTACAAATATAGGCATGCCTCCCATCTTAGCAATAGAGTGTGGTGATATACTATTTATGATTTATTAAAACTAGCCTGAGGACTCAGAAAGCAAAGTCAGACACAAACCATAGACTCCAGAAACACACCTTTATTCCTAGCAGCCAGAAACTAGGAAGTGGTGGTATAAATCTTTAATCCTAAAGCTCAGGGATAAGAGATAGATGG